ACGAAAGGAGACTGCGACCATACAAAAGGCCCCACCATCTTAATTTTCATACCTTCGAATAATGTGTTTAGTTCATCGTTTGATAATTTTCGAACCGGATTGTATGATTTTTCATTAATATTTAAGTCAACTAATGTTAGTTCACTAATTAAATCAGTAATAGTTTGCATGTCCCTACTGAGAGCCAAAATGTCTCAATATTTAGTAGGAACACCTTTTGAGTCAATCACTACTTTCATTTTGTCTGGCATCAATTCCACACCTTCTTGCAGAATTTGACTAGTCACATTATTCCAGTACTCTTACAAAAGATACCAGAAGTCGCCTTGTGATGTTAAAGTATGCTTTACTTTTTCACTCTTTAAATATAACCAGAGCTGTTCTCGATGGGGCTGAGGTCTGGTCACTGTGGAAGAGGGAAAACTAGACAAATTAGCACTCCTTGATCTTACTTCGACTTGAAATAGGCCTGTCCCAGTTTCTGTGCATATTTAAGATCATTGTTTTGCTAAAGCATGAGCCATTTCCCATACAACTTTAAGCGAGAAGGGATAGGATGATCTCGAATTTTCGTTAATGCGGAACAGACTCTGTGCAAGTCTCTAACTCCAGAATAGGCAAAGCAGCCTGCATCTAAATATTTCCACCATCATGTCTAACAGTGGGTTTTATGCACTGTTGCTTTAGCCTATGACGCGACCGTTTTTTCACATAAGATCTTTAATTCTTACTTTAAACTTCAAATTGTAATCAGGTAAAGTTTCGGAATTGTTTCCCCCATACTGAACCTTTACCCTAGTTTTGATGGTTATGAAACTGCTACCCTCCCAAGACGGTCGTAGTTTTTCTGTTGTGTTTTGACCGTACTTTAGATAATTTGGATAGAGTGTAGTGGGTTTAGCTAGTTTTTAATCTTGAGACCAAATATTGTACTGTCTTGGGATGAAGTTAGCTCGATGTACTACTGGTTTGCAGATGTGATTAATTCAGGTCTGCTTCTTCTTCACATTGACCGAAAGGAGTACCACCCTATTTTGCAGAGCATGCTATCCCACGTGCCTTAAAGTTGTGTGGAAAAGGTTTTATGCTCTAGCAGAACAATTATTATAAGTATGCATTGAAACTAGGTCAGGCCTATTTCAAGTCACAGGAAGATCAGGGAGTGCTGACTTGCCTAGTTTTCCCTCTTCCGCAGTCACCAGACCTCAGCTCCATTGAGAACAGCTGTGGGAATATACTTTAACATCACAAGATGCTTTATGGCATCTTTTAGGAGAGTGCTGGAATAATGGGACTATCCAAATTCTGCAAAAAGGTATGGAATTGATGCCAGACAGAATGGAAGCAGCGGTTGAATTAAAAAGCGTTCATTTACGTTACGAGTAGGTTCTTGAGTAAGTGTTCATCAGCTTAAACGAAATAGAATAAACACATCTTATATATATGATTTAATGAAAGTCCCTGAAATTTACTCAAAGGAAAAAACTAAATAATGTCATCGATTGCCATAGCAAATATAATATTGCTTCATCGACAGTCTCCCCTCAGAATGTGATATGGGAAAATGCTTGACTTTCCTTAAAAGTTAAATCCGATATATCCCCTAAGGGAAATCATCACCTTAAACAAAATATAGTGAACTTATCCCACATAAGAAGGGTTCATACTAAACCTAGAGAGATTCTGACTGTTAGTAGGTGAAAGCAAACCTTTTCTGACTTAAATTAGTTGACCTTAATGTTAGTGAACAATTATGCAATTCTGTTTAAAAATCATCAACTTAGTAAAAATGTGTATTTATACTTTACAGGTAATGAAATAAACACAGTTATTGGCGATGGACTCAGACTTTAGAATCATACTGTAAGAGACATGAGGATAGTAGGTTTGCAAATGTCAACATTTTTCTTGGTTTAATATATTCCTTTCTTGCGTAGGTCGTCAGAATAAATTATTGAGGGATACTCTGAAACCCAATTTTACTTCATATAAATTGAGATTCATATTTTTTCCCGTTTAACAAATACTTGATATTCTATAGTCTCTTTTCTACACTCCAGACATGCTCTTGACGAACGCTTTAGTAAGCCATAATCCGGACTTTGCTTTCCCAATTCACAACAAAAAACGAGGGCTTTTCAAGTAGCAAATTGAGGGCAAAAGTGAAAAAAACATTTTTCACATGGAATCTTGACGATGGCAAATGCTAAAATATGATACCGGGCCTGCTGAGTCTAATTTCAGAACAATCAATTAAAGGCTAAAGGCGGTTTGTTTATGCTATTTTGGACTTTTATGAGTAGACCACAGAAAACAATAGCGCATTAAAAATAACAATTCTCTGGGCTAACAATTAGTTTATATATTGTAATTGGTGCTTCGTTGACTTGAATATTGGGATAACTTTGACTCCATACGTCCAAAATAGTTATGCCTATCTCACGTTACCAAAGCAACGGTAGTCATTGCCAACTAGACACTGAGTGACCTAATTTCTTTTGTTCACAATCTGTAGTAAAATATGAAAATGGCCAGGCTTTGGATAGTATTTGCTACGACGGTGAAAAACACTGTCCGCCACCTCGTCAGTTCTGTATAGTAGGAAATTGTCTACCTTTGCTGCCTGAAAGACAAGACATGCCTGGAAGATCACAGCTCCGTCTTCGTGATTTCTCGAAATGACAACATTTTGGATGGCTTAAAGGTATCTGGAGGGACTCAGCTAAGTCGCCAAGGGATGATCTGAAAGGCGCTGGAAATGGAACAATGGGTTTGGTGTGGTCAAAATTGTCTGGCCAGACGTTGAATGATGGAGAACCTTTCGGAATGAGAGAGAATATGCAGCTGAGTTATGCCATAAAGACAGCATTCTCCAATATCTCGTAACCTTGTGGAGTTAGTGGAACTTGGACAGCAAGGTAAAACGTGAAATTCCAGATGATATGATCTCCTCTGTACGTCCAAACGAAGTATGAATCATAAACCTGGCGGGGTGAATTCAAGCCTAGTGTCAAAGTAAAGTGATTCCTCAAAGTACTATGTTCACATTGTCCTTGATATGTGCAAACTTCATCATTTTTTCCTTGCTATTTCATGACCCAGCATGTAAGTTGTTGTAATGAACGAAATTATGCCCCTACCATTCACCACAAAACACACATAAACATTTGGGAAATACATGTGATTAGCCACAGGATAGCAGTACAAACAAGCAAATCCCACAATTTTACTCCGCGACCCAATAGTGCGATAGTGCCAAGTCCACAGTTTGATGCTGATAATTATGACAAATACCATGGCAGACGACTTCGGACTACTACTAAGTCGCCTTGACAACAAGACCAAGTTGTGACAACGAGGTAAATCCACTTGAAGAAGATATGAAGTTGGTGGAAGCAAAAGTAAAAAGAATAAATGGATATAAAAGAAGTAAACCGAGGAAAATAGTGATAAAAATCTTAAAAGTGAAATTGAGTGGAGCGCAGTTTCCAGTTCAACTGAGTCTCATCAGTTTCCCGGACGGGAATCGAACCTAGATTGTACAGTGTTGCCAACATGGTGCACTGTCATGGGTGTCACAATAACATAGGGCAGACGTGAATTCCAAGACAAACCAGATCAATGCCGAAACTAATTTGTAGTGGGATTGTTGACGAGGCAAACTTGTAGCTCTCGTTTGCAAATAGGGTAAGCAATGTAGTGAATTGGACCAATAACGCCCAGAGGAGATGATGAATCCCACAAGAGCATCTTCTAAATGTTGTGATTTCCAATGCTGGGCTGCCGTGAATGGCAGCAGAAAATTGGCATTGGAACAAGAAGGCTGACCTACCGAAACTTTAATTTTGTATGTAATTTATAGTTTATTCTAATTTCTATATTTTATTCTGGTATTTCTATGTTTATTAACATGCGGTTTGTGTTGCGCAATAGTTCAAACTCGAAATAATGAGAGGCGTATAATGACACATAGTCACAGACTGTGCAAAGAATCCATGTGAAATGTACTGCAAAATTAGCTCCGCAGATCTGGTCAAAGGTTTGCAAAGTCACCATAGCAGTATTATGTGAGCAACCAATTAAAAATAGTCATGACAGAATGGAATGGTATCGACACGAGCAATTCTTTGCTAGGAACATCCTTCATAGGAGACTAAATAAACCAGTTTCATGGAATTTTATGCTACGAATCCCGGTAAGATAGGTCTATAGTCTAAGAGAGAACATCAAGATGATGTAAACTTACTTAGGATTGCAGCATAATTCCATTTCGGTTGCATTTGTTGCTATTATTTACAGTTATTTAAAAGGCAGAGTATGAAGCCAAAAAATAAAAATGTTAGAATAGTAAAGGGCAAAAAAGGTAAAATTAAGGGGGGATAAACACATACATACTGAAGAAAAAGAAGAAATGAATAATAAAAGATAAAGAAGAATAAAAAAGTGAAAAATAAGAAGATAGAAATTGAAGATATGAAGACCAAGATGGTGCGGCCTCTGGTATGGTTGCAGTCTTCTTTCGATGTATAGAAGTGGATTGATCTGGTTGTCGCAACTTGATCTTGTCAGGGCGATTTAGTAGAACGCACCTAGTCCGAAGTCGTCTGCGATAGTGCCAAGTCCACTGACAACTACTATGGCATACGACTTTGGACTAGTTGCGTTCTACTAAGTGGCCCTGACAACAAGACCAAGTTGTGACAACGAGGCAAATCCACTTAAAGAAGATATGAAGTTGTTGGGAACAAACATAAAAAGAATAAACGGATATAAAAGAAGTAAACCGAGGGAAATAGTGATAAAAACCTTAAAAGTGAATGATTGCAATAAAGTCAATGGTGATAAGCAAGCAAGAATAGGAAGAAGAAAAATGAAAATGGGAAAGAAAATAAGATTAAGTAAAAACAGAGACATAACTGAGTTCCTAACTGCATGTTTTTAATGTAAAAAAAACTTTCAAAAATAAATATGCCAAAGATACGTACGTCTTTAACGTCTTTATGACCTGGCCAGCAGTGAATGCGTCCAAACCGGTAGTGGGCTCGTCGAGAAAGAGGACAGTCGGATCGGTGATCAACTCCATTCCAATATTGGTTCGTTTTCTCTCGCCGCCCGACACGCCTCTGATCAACTCGGTGCCGATCTGCGATAAGCAATGCGAAATAAAGCAAAAGCATTTGGTGATCTGCAAGACTGAAGTATTTGCGGTATCAACAAGTCATCGGTACGTCACAAAAATGAAACCAGGCGATCTTATCTTTCCTGTCCCATCGTCTTTTCAGGTTGGCATTGCAAATTGTACGTCTAGATGGAATCTTGACTTCATTTCAGCTTCACTTTTGGCTGAATTCATCCATTTCTCCGGTACTCCCTTGAAGTATATGATACGGCATTTGTTTGAGACTCCGAGTTAAGAGCTCATCCTGGCATTGAATCCATCACGTTTTTAGGTGATGTCACTCTATCATATTCATCTTTGCCTGTTTATCATGTACCCTTATAAGGCACGAATATTTCGTCTTAATTAAATAATCTCACGTTCGTAACTTGAGATACGGCGGCCTGAGGGGTAGGAGGCAGTGGAACATTTTTGTTACTTTATTCCACAATCAATTTGGCTACCTTTCACGGTTATCTCTCGACGCATACAGCACCACCGGTACTATGTACTACGGAGACTAGGTGAATCTAGTCTCCACATCGAGCCTCTCGTTTGAGCCAATCAGAATGTGGCACTGAAAGTACGCAAGATTATTTTAAGTCGGAAACTCCCTCGACTGAACACAATTCCTCATTGCTCCCATTTCGCCATCGTTACCTTTTGTGAATTGCACCAACACCACACTCCAGCATCTTCTGAGTTTGTTTCCCACATCGAGCTCCTTGCCTGTACCTTTCTTTCTTACATACAAGACACTTTGTGACTCGTTTTATTGTTCCTCTATGTGGAACTGTGATAGTCTATGCGGTAGTGCGAAGACGAGCACATATCCGTAGGGAATATTGTTCTGATTAACAAAACAGAAAAAAAGCTCTCTAAAATGCACCAATTTGTATGCTGGTTTACCCTTTATTTCGTCTTAAGAGGTGAGTAGAAGGAGCTGACCTGAAAGGATGGGGAGAACAAGTCGTATTACCTCTTTAATAAGGACTCATGGACTCTAATGCTCATTTAGGAAATGATAATTAGGATTATCCCACAAAAATATAATTAGGCTCAAAGATACCCAGAAGGCTTTCTGCTCCCCGATGCACTGCAGTTGCTATCTAAATGTAATCTTTTCAGGACCCTCGCCGGGGCTCCAAATTGACTGGTGCGCATCATGGCGACATGAT